AGCAAAACAAATTTCCAATTTTCCACCATTGATTGTGGGAGAGAAACTTCATTCATAAGATTGTTAAACAAGAACCGAATTCCCTCCTCAAGAAAAGTTTCTTCCTTGTACAGATCTGAAATTCGATTTCTCGATTCATCCGCCAGCGAAAAAGTGGTACACGATCGCTTCTGATTTACTTGGAATCGTCTTAGTTTCGTTGGATCTGTAGAGTTTTTCAACGATATGGGTTCTGATTCCGGGATAATTTTGATTTCCATTGTGTAGGGTTGATTGCGAGATCGGGAAAAAGGGGGCAAAAATGGCGCATAGGGTAGATCAGGAATACGATTATTTGTTTAAGATCGTGTTGATTGGCGATTCTGGTGTTGGGAAATCGAACATTTTGTCGAGATTCACAAGGAATGAGTTTTGCTTGGAATCTAAATCCACTATCGGTGTCGAATTCGCCACCAGAACTACTCAGGTGAATTCGGATTTTTTTTCTTTTCACTTTCTTAAATTATCAGAATCAAAGAAATGTGAATAGATAATGTTCAGATTTTATGATAAAAGCTTTAAAGCTGTGATTTTGGGATATGTTTTTTTCTTCTTGTTTGCTTGGGTAAACTTGTGACACGAAATTCCTAGCTGTAATATGCTTACATTCTTCAGTTATGCTTAGTGTAATGTAGAATTCAGGTATTCGATAGTTCATCTCAAGTGATGGCTCTCTGGAGCCATTAGTCTGTGTTGTTTCTTTGAAGTTGCATCTTCTTTACTCTGGGTGGATTTAGGTTTCGTTGGTTTCTTAGGATCAAAGAGGTATTGGTTTAAGGAATTTAATTGATTTTGAAGGAATTGGACTTTCTAGAGAATTCCATTGTTATTCAATTGATTAGAATCTTAATTCTTTTAAATTCATGTGTTATTCAACTTTTTTGTAACTTTTATTCTTTAAGATTTCAAAAGAATTTAATAGAATTTTAAGAAAAAAACGTGAAGGGACAATTCTCACCCTTTTAGCTCAGATTTTGATGGAAATTTAATAATTCCTTTATAATACTCTAAAATCAATTCTCTGTGTTTGAGAATATTCAGGGGATTCTTGTTTCAGGTACTTGATAAAGAGTCGATTGCTCTCTTGTCTTGTTGAGAGTTTTTTCTTTTTCTTTTCAAGAAAGAATCTTTAGATGTGCTGGCCATAAATCATGACCGATGCTTTTGCTCAGTTTTAAGACTATAAATGGATGGTCGTGAGGGCTAATTGAAAAAAGAAGATTCTCACAACTTGTCCTCAATAATTAGTTGTATTTGTCATCCATGACCTTGTCCACCTTTAAACCCTTTTGAAGTCAAACCAATAAAATTACAAGAAGGGAACTTTATACACATTAACATATATGCATACACAGGTGGATCTAACTGGTTGTTACTGTGAATCTCTATGATTGTATTGTGGATACACAGGTGGAAGGAAAAACGATTAAGGCCCAGATCTGGGATACTGCAGGTCAGGAGAGATACAGGGCCATCACCAGCGCTTATTACAGAGGCGCAGTGGGTGCACTTCTTGTTTACGACATCACCAAGAGACAGACCTTTGACAATGTCTTAAGGTGGTTGCGGGAACTGAGAGACCATGCCGATTCCAACATTGTGATCATGATGGCTGGTAACAAATCTGATCTGAACCATTTGAGATCCGTTGCTGAAGAAGATGGTCAGAGTTTGGCCGAGAAGGAAGGTCTCTCTTTCTTGGAGACATCTGCGCTTGAAGCAACCAACGTCGAGAAAGCGTTTCAGACCATCTTAGGAGAAATCTACCATATCATAAGCAAAAAGGCGCTGGCTGCACAAGAAGCAGCCGCAGCTAATTCCGCAATTCCTGGTCAAGGAACTACAATTAACGTCGATGACACATCTGGAGGTGCGAAACGAGCATGTTGCTCTACTTAAACTAAAGGTAAACTGTTTTTTTAAGCTTGTTGCCTCTTCAAAGATTCAACTTTTGTTTTCACTGGCTACTCGTTTTTTTTTTTTTTAAAATTCAAGTTTTGGCTGATGAAACGTCATGCAAGACCATGTAGAATACTTCTGTTTTTATGCTCTTCGGTTGGGGTTTGTGTTCAGTTAAAGCTTGTGAGATTCTTTAGTCAGTAAAGCTTGTTAGTAGTATACTTAGAATCTGGTGGTGCTTTTTTTTATATGTATCTTCTTTTTTGCATTGGTGTGTTCTCTTCATTTATGGTTTATAAAGTATCCTCCATTTCTTTTTCCATCTCCGGTTTAGGCCGGTTCGTCTTGGCTTGGTTTAAATCGAATCATTGCTTTATTTTTTTTAATTTCTTATCAAGTTCCAAATCCTTTGTTTACTTTAAAGTCAATAATACCTTGAAATTTTTGGTCCAAAATTTTATTACAAATTGTGTACTGAATTAATTTTTTTTTCCCTACATTATAAAAAACAAAAAAATGGTGACCAATTAATTTGGCTCCTTCAATTACGACAAACTAAAATGCAAGTCAAGTGCAGTTATTATCAAATAAGATAATTACACCCCACTTCGTTCAGACGAAATAATGGCCGGGCTAAATTCTAGGTTATTTTGAACCGACCAAATTAAATGATTTTTGAATAATTGTAGGATCATCTTCAAGTAATATAGAAAGTGACGATACATGAAGAAAGTAAAAGGAGTGGTGGAGAAAGAAACGTCATATAAGCCAACAGCTTATTAGCCAACTGGCAAAACTCAATTGCATGCACCGATGCACGAATGTGTGTTCATGTGATAATGAATACTAGAATTTTAAACCCGCCTCAAATTTCATGATAATATTCGAAAATAAAATTTCATAATTTTTTTTTAATTTCAGGAAAATATTAAAAATAATAAATATCAAATGGCATATTTTTTCATATACTAAATATATTTTATCTTACAAAATTTAATTTGCATGATACTTAGATTAAATATAAATATTATTTATGTAAATCAAATACGTTTAAGATTATCAGTTCTTGCAAACTTATTTGACTTCACCAAAACTAAAAACAAAATTGCATTAGTATGTAAAAATCCTTTT